TTCAGCACATCAAGTTTGTTTTTGTTATATTGGGTCGTTGCAATTGTTGTGCCGGAAAATGCGTTGATCACTTATACTCGGAACGAGGGACCTCGGCAATTCCCACGATGCGAAAGTAAGAACACAAGACTGGTATAAGTGATGATTTATTAGCCTCAAAACACGACAACGACGATTATCAAAATAGTCTAAAATACACTGGTTTATATATTGATTTTACACCCATTTTGATTAATAATTAGGATTAAATCACATACTCAGTTATAACAAATCACAGACTGAGTATAGTTCATGTCGATGGAATACAGGATTATCGTATATTATACAGAATGAAATATCATGCGACAAAAGAAGCTTTCTTGTATTCATTTGAACAACAATTTACACTAAATATTTGACTGAATCTGGTTTTTATATATGTATATAACCAAATCAATTGCTCTTAGACTAAATAATCTCTGTCTTATAGAGCCGGCTACAATTACTGTAAAAGTTCAAATCGGCGAGACTATAATTTATGGACAACCTTCAAGAAATTCAACTACATACTAGCATAAAAAGAGGGTGATAAATTAGGATTAGTGTTTGGAGTTTTCATCACGAATTGACATCAGATATAATGCCAAAATGCTGTCTTACCATATAGATGAAAAAACTTCGCATCGACAGACATAAGTAAGTAGTATGTAACACCAATCGGGTGTGGAAAATCTGGCTGCCGAAATCTAAGAAGATCGAGTTGAAGTAAACAGAAAGGTTAATAGAAAGGAGTTGTGAACTGGAACAATCATACAAAATGTGAAGAACAATCGATGAAAGATTTACAAATGAAGTATTTAATGTATAGTTCTCATGTTTTGCGAAGACATTCCATAATTTAGTATTAAATTATAAATTGATTGTCCCTCACTTAAGTTCCTGTTTATTACACTATCTTTGATTTCATTGATTTCCGTATAAATTACAGTCTCGCCATCGAATCTAGTTCGTTCCTATCTTTCAGAAAACATTTGTATTTTTGTACCAGTATTAGAATTCACTGGTTTGTATTTACGACTTCACGACCATCACTTAGTCTCATCGATAAGATCTATCGTACTCCTGAAATGTCTGAACTCTACCGGTCATAATTCACCAAAGCATCTACAATTTATCTCATATGTATTTACATTAAGTTTCAATGATTCTTCAACTCATAATGAATGATGGCGAATAGTTTGTTTCTTCCTAATTCTCCATCGATCAGTTAGGTGTGTCACCTGCACTCGTCAGGATTCAACTTGTAGTTTTTTTTATTTTTAAGAGAATAGTATTGAGATAGTGTGATCCAGATTGAAAATATCAGCGGAAATTTTTCGTCAATTTTTCCACAGTATTAAATAAAATGACGTATATCAGGTTGAGTTAATGTGCAACTGCCTAAAAAAGTTAAATGTATTGATCATATAATGGCAGCTTGAAAGTTTTCTCTAAAATTACACAAATGGTAAATCAACAGAAGCTACAAACTTCTTGGTTTGGAGCCTACAGAATAATCGTAATCATCTATTAAAAATCTTAGATGACTTTAAATTGTTTGTAGCGGTTCAGATTTATTTATTTAGCTTTATCTTCCAGTTGAACTTAAATCGTTGTATTTTCTTGAATCAGCTTAGATTCCTCAGTTTCACTTATTTCTAAATATGTTCTCTATTTGTAGAAGTTATTTGTTATTGAAAACCAGAAAGCACTAGACTGTTTCGTCCTGTTATGGGACTCTTCGGCAATGCACACCCATTTAAAGTTCCTAGACTTAAGCCCTGTTTGGGTCATGAGTGTGCACCACCTAGGCGTTCTGTTTTAGGACGAAATTTACCAGTGTTCCCTGGTTTTCCATGGTACCCGAACTGAAATCAATCCGTGACATATATCGTCCATAGATCAAAAGTTTCCGCAGAATCCTTTTCGTGTAAATTATATTCTTTGTTTAACGTTGTTTCCTATCACTTACTGTTTCCGCTCCTTTTTATTAATACTCTTTATTTTAAAGTTCATATGTGGTTTCAGAATTCGCATACTTAGGTGACTAACTACCTGCTTCTCATATACTAAATCTAAAAAAATATTATTTGGCGATGTTAACTGCTTTTTTTTGTTTCTTCAAAATCTCTGAGAAAAACTACTGTTTCCAACATAAATCAGTCATGTAAGTTTACGCGCTAAATTCCAACTGAAATCCTCTTTAGTTTCTTTGTTTTGACTGAATTCTTACCTAACATAGTAATCGTAATAAACAATAACATGATTATACGTCACGCCCCACCAATATTGATGCTATGTTTTTATTCGGTTAATTTTTTTCACTGTATTCTCATAGCCCTCGTATGTGCAATAAACTTCAAAGAGATGTTTTATTATTTCTGCGGATTCTAATTGATATCAGTAGTATCGTATAGGAGATAGACAGCATCATGACACCATACTTCATTACGACATTGTATTGAACAAGTTGATTACATATATATAGTCAGTCAATATTGAAATTTGACTGACGTCAGAAGTATGAATCGTTGGCCATACCTCATTGCTTCAAAGGTTAGATGCTCACTTGAAAGCTTCAAAGTTTTTGATTTAATCCTTGGAAAGATCATATGTGCGTTGTTGAGAATACCCTTATACTAAGGCAAAACAGCTGTTAAATCCCTCCTGGTTTCTAATGGTTGTGCTATATCCGCGTTACTTATTACTTGTACTTGATAAAACGAGAAAGCACTATAATTTCCATGACGCGAAGTAAGAACACCAAGACTGATGCAAATGAAGATTTATTAACCCCAAAATCACGACGACACAGCCGAGAATGTACTCACTTATTAATTGTAAACCCATTTTGATTATTAATTAAAATTAAATCACATATATGGAAAACATCCGAAATTATAACAAAATCACATGCTGAACATAGTTCACGTTAATTTAATGCAAGAATATCGTATCTTGAATAAGCGTCACAATCAAATAAATTAATATTATACCGAATAAAATAACATACTGGAAAACAAAAATACTATACTAAGCAGTCATCACATTGAATTAATAATGTGCTAGGTTTGAAACTATCACGAGTTCACTTAATCTGCGAACGAAAACAAAGACTCAGTGACAGAAGACCAGTAAGCTAGCTTTTTGACGCGTCCTAGCCCCACTAACTAGAGGGAGAAGTCCATGCTTGGATTGGGAACTCTATTCTGCAAAACAGCCAGAAACGAGCGATAACAACAAACAATTCAAAACGTATATATACAGTATAAAATCGTCCTTGGGGAGAGTTACCAAATAGCTCACTGAAAAACGCAACGGATCAATAGCGTTTAAGATATTTCCCAGTGGGAAATACGACATGAAGGTGACAAGAGCGCCTTTGGCGCGAAAACAAAGAAATTCAAATTTCCTAAATAAAATTACAAAATTGGGTCCTTTCTCAAGTGAGTTCTGGGGATCTAACGTCCCCAACATAATAAAAGTAATGTTGACCAAAAATCACAAGTCCATTTTGATTTTGTTGTCTAAATGAAGCTAATTTACATTGGAACCGTTTTTCATATTCAGACATCTTCAGTAATCACCCACGCATATTTTAATACTTTTCCCTCTGTCTGTTGTTTTTCAATCATATCTCATTATCAAAGAAATGTGTACAGAAAAACAAAATTAAATGTGAAAAAACTTCCGAGTGTTCTACTGGTTTTTCTTAGTTTCCATGATATGTAACAAAGTGTGACAGCATGGACTAACGTACTTTTGAACGAAATTTTGTTTGTCTTAGAGGAAAGCAGTATGTAACACAGTTTTGCGTAATTACTACCGTTTTACAATTTTCAACTTCAAATTTGGTAGCCGTTAACCTAGCAATATCAAATGTGTGATCAGTGTTCTTGTTTCAAGCATGTTTAGTTTTACTTGGGTAACTGTCATTTAATTATATCAATTAGCATTTATTCTGTGTGTGCATGTGTGTCTATTATCTTCAAGTAATTGGCATAGGACTAGAATTAATTTATTTGCCATTGTTGTAGTTTATGTAAAAATAGTTTGGATTATTATTATTTTATTTCAACACATAGATAATGGTATAAAGAGGCACCAAACAGATATGCGCCACACAAATCTCATTCGATATGTGTGAGGGCTGTGATACTGCCCGGGTGCCCAAACCGAAGCAGTTTGGATGCTTATCGTCAAACATCTATAATTGCGACAGATAGTATAGGGGTACTGTTCAAGGTATACTGGTGGTTAACATTAACCAATTACCTACATCGAGGAATGTTATTTCCTCTTGAGAAATCTGAAAATGATTGACTGTCTGATGAACCTAGGAAGATAGGGGCAGTGCCTAAGCGACAACTGTTTGAACCCAGTTACAGATAATCATTTTTATGAATTGTTTCTATAGTATTACTACCGAACATTTTCAACCCTATTGGCACCAGAAATTCATAGCTCCAATATTTTCTAACCCTTTAAATTCTGTGTACCAAAAGCAGGATCGCCGAAAATACTAGCTATCTGTGGGAAACACTATAACGGCACGGTACCTCAATACATTTGGTAGTACAACCTAACTGCTAACGTAGTTACTTTTGATATTAACGCTATCTAACCGACCTTCCTGATATCTAAAGACATTGAGGCTGAAGTACTGAAACCGATGTAGTTCTACAGTTTTAATTGATAAGTCTAATCATTATGTCAAAGTGGCAATTACTGTTTATTACACAACAATGAAATAACAGTCAAAGATTCGTTCATGGTGCTAATCAATGAACAAAATTGATTTCAGGTTATTTGAGATATTGTGATTTTGTAATCCGAAATCAAATTTACCCAGTGATTTGTATACGGAATAAATCAGTAGCTTATAGCATATAATATTTTGTATCTTTCTACTAAATAGTATTTTTTTTAAAAAACGTTTTTATCAACATTACCCTCCCATCCACATCGCTTCATATTTGCAGATGGTATTGGATACATCTAGAAATTTTCATCATTATCGTACTCTCCTATCAGCTAATAATGTATCGGCTCCAATATTACCCTATCTACCATTGGTATTGAAAGATTTAACTTTTATCCATTTGGGTAATCCTTCTTGTACTCCAGATGGATTGATAAATTTTGTCAAATTACGAATGCTTGCTAAAGAGGTTAGTTAAATAGTTATTATTATTATCTCTGCTTTTTTTCTAGCTGTTAATGGTTCGGTTCAGCCTATTTCAGTACTGCTAACAACCCCATTGTCACAACGGTACAATTCAGAACTATGTTTAGAAAATATATTATTTATTTATAACAATCTACCCAATGCTCAATTTATTCGAAAATATGTTTAGAAAAATTTAATACTCAGTCTTTCATTAGTGTTGACACATATCTGTTAAATATTGAACTAGTTCAGTTCCTTACTGTACTGTATCATAAGTTCGACTGAAGTTTTGATGTAATAACTTAGTGGATTACGAGGGGATCAGGTATCCGTAGACAATAATAATATTTGTAAAGAGTTCCGAATTAGATCAGAATGACTCCGTAACATCTAGTTTTCAATGAGGTGATAAATTGATCATTTTTTATACATATCACATTAATTAATTTTAGATCACTTAAGCTGGCTGAATATGTAACAGTTGCTAGTCATGTCAAATAAATCTTTTTACACTTCTCGTTGATTCAACCTTAAAACTTCACCTTTTCAGACAAGTAAGCCCACATCAACTACGTGGGATCTGGTACAGATCTATATCTATCCAAGTCATCATACTGTATCTAAAACAAAAACAACACTAGTGATAAGTTAGAGTTTAGGTGATAGAGCAAAGAAAAATTGAAAATTTAGCACCTATGCCACTACAGTCAACCTCTTATGAGATTGATCGTGATAAGTTTCAGCTATTTTAATGTGTTGTATTTATTTAACCAGGAATGTATTCTCTGTATTACAATTATTTTATTAAAAACTTGTTAATAACAAATCAATTATTGTTGAAATGTGTGTTCTTATAAACAACTAGTCAGCTATTGATATATCTTAACAAAATGTGTTTCACACGTACTCTTTTTTGTGTTTTACATCAAAAGAACAAATAGTTTAAACAACAAAACATTGTTCAACCACGATCAAAATGTTTCTGTTTAAAAATAAACTTTACTCTTGACAAGTTGATTGAGTTTTGTTTAAATGACAGAAGATTTAATAAGATTAACTATAAATGAATATGTATACGTAACGCAAATGAAATGTAAGTGCTGTGCGTTGGTATACGTTTGTGTGTATATTTGCGATCGCATATCTGTATTGACAAAAAATGATTTACTTAAACAGTGCTTCTAAATGTCTGTGTGTGCGTGCATGTCTGTATATTTTATATCCAAGATAACAATAAATACACTTGAAATAACATAAAATAATGAAACGAGTTGAACGAAACAAACGCCACGTCGAATAAGCTAGTCAATTGTAGTTTGTTGCGCAAGTTAAGTTATTTGTTATTGACATAATTAACATTAATATTACTGCCACAACTACCAAATCTACTTGATAGGTTACAATGGTTATTTTTCGAGGCGTAAAATTATAACTGTTTATTAAAACACGATATTCATAAACACAGAAACTTTTTTCCATTGATCAATAAATGCCATAATTGTTTCATTGCCCCTGTCATTGAAATTTAGATTGATTACACATTTTATCCATCCACTTTCAACTCTACAAAGTCAATTTGTATCTTTTCACAACCATGTATATATGATATTTTTAACTATTTTCTTCGTAGAAAGTTGTTGATTACTCCCTACTTCTACTCCTTGCGAGCTATCACTGTATACAAGTGTCACTTCCACTATTGTATTATAAAACATTAACTTAGAATTTACTGTCAGACCCGTTTAACAGAACAAAGTCAAGAAATTGATATTTAATTCCGTTGAATAAATTTAAGAATTTAGAAAAGTCAAAGCACGAATCTTAGTCAAGACAACAACAACAATTTTTAATATATATGATGATTGACTTAAGTTATTTGGTAAAATATTGGGAGTCAAGTGAACAGTCATATTGGTGTTATTAGTTGAAAAATGGAATCTTTTTAATCATCTAAAAATCTTTGTACGTATTTATTAGTCTGGCTCAAATTTCACTTGATCTACAAAATCGACCAGAATCAGAAATAAGACAACTACACATTGATTACATTGGATAATAGTCTTGTTATAATAATGAATTTACCGAAGTTTGAAAGTCTATAAGTCATTAAATTTCAAGTTTTTGATTTCATTTAGATTTCTAGACCTACATTATTGAGAAATTCCATATTGGAATGGACCGACAGTCCCAATTCTTTCATAGTATAAGCGGGTTGTGGAGATCGTTAAATCTGTACTTTTATATCGCAAACTGATTTTATGTAAACAACTAATAAAACCCAGAAAGCATTGGACTGTTGTTTCATCCTAATACACAACTTATCAACAGTGTGTATTCACGACCACAACAGCAATAGAACCCTCGAACTCCAAGCCTCACGGCGAATGCTTAATTTTCAGACCACTCATACTTTGTCGTTTTTAGAACCAGTTTATGTCCCAGCCACACATGGTGTCTTATTTAAAAACACATAACAATTGTAGACATGTGTCAATTCACCAACCTTAATCTCTATCCAATCTTGATTTCTTTCCATATTTGTTACTATAAAGAACCACTTTTCGTATTAATAAGCTTGTTCAGTTTTTTCTATTCCTAAAATGCTATTAAGCTACTTGTATTATGGCCCGACCGTAGCTGCTACCTTGACGTGGTGGTCGGGCTTGCCTACCGTGATGACCCAACCGAGCTATATTGGCTGGAACATATGTTGTTACTGACTGAGTGACTTGTATTATAGCATATTTAAGGAAACAGAAAAAAAAATACCGACATAATGAAATACAACGACTGAATTATTTTTCTCAGATTTTATTGTTTTCCTTCAACTTTCAGTGAAGCTACTGCATAAGCTGTAGTATGTCTTCCGTGCTGTTTTATTTCAATAAATCAGCATAGTTGTTTTTGTATTTTGCACGGACATATTCTCCCATGCACTGACGTTTAGTGTTTACATTTACGTCAATATACAAGTGTTTATTAAAGATAAGATAATTTTCAGTTGATATCATTTTGAGATGCAACTACATTGAGTCTGATTCTGTGCATAAACTCTACGGCAGAATTACCAAACGCAAACTAAAACACTGGAAATCATCGTGTGATTATGTAACAAGACCATGTCTTTGAGAATCTTGTGTGTTTGAAAAATCTGCGTTGTACTCGTCACCATGAAAATTCTTCATAAGTTCTCTCTGCTTAAGTGTTCTTGCTGTTTCACAGTTATTTTTACATGAAATTTTCCCTTAAATGTAACTATTTCTCATTCCTACGTTGTCATTGTGGTTGCTGTTGTTCATGTTGTTTTCGAACATCTTTTATTCTTACTTTCTAGGTTCGTGCCATTTGTCGGATGTGTAATGTTGATTATGATTTATGCACTACTCCATATCGCGGTCGTACTGCTGGCGGTGTCGAACGTGTACGTGCTGGTGCCAATTTAAGTGCGCTTAAAGCAGTCGCTTCTGTTTCATCTATCTATCCAAAATCGTACTTTTCAAATCTTACATCGATGAATAACTCCAGTCAAACAAACCATAATAATAATAATAATAATAATAATGCTAGGACAGATTCTAATTGGCCAGAACACGATATGGTTGAAGTAAAATTCAGTCATTCAAATTCTCTTGACGATAGTGAACAACAACAACAGCGTGAAAGCACACTTAACTTTGATGCGAATCCTATGAATTCGACTAATGTTTCGAGTGGTTTAAACGGTGGGCAGTGTTTTTACTTTTTCTTTCCTTTTTATGATTTTTACTTAAGAGGCCTGTGAGTGGTTTGTTAGCGAAACTTAAAATGATCTGAATGTTGATCTACCCCAGTCTGTTGAGAAATAACTTAATATTTTAGAAAAAAGTTGCTCTCCAACTTTATACAAGATCTATTTTATAATACTTTTGAAGGTTTAAACAACTAAGAATTTAAATGGTCAAGATCATGAGTCAGTTGAAGCTAGACCACCATAGAAAACCTGGAAGCACTGGACGGCCGTTTCGTCCTATTGTGGGACTCATCAACAGTGTGCATCCACTATCCCGCCTCTCGAGATTCGAACCCAGGACCCATCAGTTTCGCGCTTCGAGCATTGGAGACAATGGTGGATGTGTCGCTTAATCTTGTGGACTTGTTGAAGTTAGACATTAACACAATTGTTTACCTGCTCAGTGGTCTCGTGGTTAAGCGCTCGCGCGCGAGACTGATAGGCCCTGGGTTCGAATCTCGCGAGGCGGGATCGTGGATGCGCACTGCCGAAGAGTCTCATAGTAGGACGAAACAGCCGTCCAGTGCTTCCAGGTTTTCCATGATGGTCTAGCTTCAGTTGTCTCATGATCTCAACTATTGAAATTAGTATGTGATAGTGAAACTGAAATACGATTGGTAACTGAGCGTTGACGAACAGGCACTTGGCTTAATAACTGTTAAGTATATGATTTCCGTACCTCTCCTAACTCACTGCATGTGACTGATTATATTGAATAAATTAACATCTAGTGTTAATCTCATTCCCTATTCTGGGTTGTAAATCCTGGATCTGATGTGACGTGACTAGTCTTATTATCGTATTGACGTATTATCGATGTGTACCTGAGAAAGAAAAATATTTTAAACTATCCGTTATATCGATGGTCCTTTCTTTTATTTGAAGTCTTTACTAATTTCATCATTAAAATTAATTTGTTTTAATATTATTTCTCAGAATTGTTCTTATTTGACAGTTAACCATAATCAATGTAAAATGGAGTACAAATATGCATCAACCCAACTCACCATTTCAAATCAGCACAACGAGTCGAAATAATGGTATGAATAGCTAATGCATCGTAATAATTGTAGTACCAACAGTATTTTTTAAAGAAGAAAAGACTGTGCATACAAAACACCTTTTACAAAAAATAATGGTCAGAACAAACAAAGCATCAATGCTTTCAAACTATCACTTAAAACCTCCAACTATTAGTCACGATTATCACACAGATCTCAAGCAGGTACTCTATACCTACCACCATGGCTGGGACTAACAGTCGATGACTTCATGAAATGATATCTTCTCTCACCTTATACCCTATCTCGCTCGATTTTGTTTCAACCAACTCCTTCGTATATTTTATTTTACATTAAAATTTGCAATATGTTAAGCTAAATACCTATATGATTAAATGTTTAACTGTTTGATGTATAATTCAGTAAACATTTTGATAAATCTAACTTTCATTGCAATAGGTACTTCAGGATTTAAAAAGTAAAAATTCGTCATCCTGTTGCATTCATTATTATTATTACATGTAAACTTGATTAAATTTTTGTTTAGTTGGACACAAGCGTCTACATCAACATGGGAATCCTACAACTCCTTCCAGTGGAAGTTTCAATGTGGAATTGTCTACAGCTAACTCTTTCATTGTCCCCGGTGGTGGTATTCGACGGCGATCAAATCTTGGTCTAATTTCTTCATCAATTAATCCAAAAAAGATTTATGAAAGTTGGCTGATGACTTTACGGATTCGTACGTATTTCGCTAATTTAAGAGTTGTCCAAGATCCGGAATTATTGTCTCAATTATCCTCGCGCATTGAACCTAGTGGTAAAGATTCAAGAACTGTCCAACCCGCTCTTGTATCTTCAGTAGGCAATGCTGGTACTACTACTACTACTAATAATAATAATAATATTAATAGTTCTACTAATGAAGGGAATGATCCACAGAAGTTATATACATCCAATCTCCCATCCTCCAACAATAATACAAAATTAAAAGGTAGTGATTCTTTTGAAAAGCTATGGATAAGTTTTAGTGAATATTTATTATTTTGCGTCCTTTCCAATTCATGGATTATCTGTTCTCTCGTAACCTGTGTATTTAAAAAATATATTTGTGACGGTTACTGAACAATTTACTTGAGAAAGTATAGGATTTTATGAAAATTCTGCAGTGTGATTGATGTATCAAATACTGTTTCGTATAGTTGACTTTGAGTCAGAATTTTTGCGTGTGAGCTATTGAAAGTACCTGGCTTCTCGAAATTAAGTGAATGAAGCTGGACCAAAATGAACTGAACTACCTGCATATTTGATCATATTGATATCAGATTGAAATAATGTGGTATATGAAACAGGCCCTCACCTCAAAATTAAACGCAGTTATCAGTTGAGACACAAAACCTCGAAACATGTGAACTCTACATATAAACAAACCAAAATTCAGTTCTAAAAATGGACAGCGCCCTTCGCTAGTATCGGTGTTCATTAAATTGACCAAAAAAACATGTCAGAAGTTAACTAAATTCGAAAATATCAACCGTTCAATCTAAATCTGTAACTGATGGTCCAAGGGTTTTGTCGAGACTGTTCTAATTTCTAGATGGTTTCTGTCACGGATTAATATCACTTAACGTATCATTGAAAACCAGAGAGCACTGGACAGTTATTTCAACGCCAACCCAGTGCATCTAACTATTAATTTTTTGCTGCGATACCCAAAAGTACTGAGTTCGATCTCTGATGTGGTTGTGTGTGCTCACTTACGAAAAGTCTCGTGATAGAGCGATACATTTGTTCAGTGCTCCTTGGTTTTAAAAAGTACCCCAAGTGTGATCAATCGACTGTGAATATCACCCACAAACTCGAGAGTTTTTGAATATGTATTTCCAAGCAACGCTGTCTAGGATAGTGCAAAACAATCGTAACTTGTTTATTAGGTCATCCGGCTTTTAATCATTAGATTGTAGATTAAAACTTTCTTTCTACCTTGATTTATCCAATCGAATAATATCACCAGCTCTTTCACAATTGTAAGCGGCCATCAAAGGTAGTGACTAACACTTTAGACAGTATATTCAGTAAATGAATTGCTACATTATTAATTTGGTCATTTGAACTGATAGACATTTGTACTAAATCCTGTGTTGATGATAGCTAGTTGATTGACTTGTGACAATTTATGTGTTTTTCAGATAACACCAATTTTCGAACAAGCATTTCACAAATACATATTTGTTAACTATGATTCTATTCTATACATGTATACGTGCAATTGATAATCATCTTCACAAAAAATATGCTACGTATTTATTTACTATATGGAAATGGCATTTATCGCATTTGTCACTTGTGTGTGAAATGAATAAATGATGCATGGGAGTGTGTGTGTGTGTGTAAATAAACACATCGTTTTTTAATATTATACTTGAGTATACACTAGTGTGGACAGTAGGAAGTAAATTCTATCCAGTTGTAGGTGGATAACACTGAAACTAGAACTTAAAGTTCATGTCGTTTTTTTTCGAGAGTTATAATTCATCGTTCATTACATTCTTCTCCTTCCTTCCTTTTGTTGACTATACACAGTCAGTCAGCTACATACCTCATTAGCACAACAAGATAAACACTGGATTCATAGAACTAGTTAATTCAGTGTTGGTAATATATAAAAGAAAGATCGCATATAAGGACATAGTACAGGAAGAAAGAAAGATACGAAGCGATTTTAATTTTATAGTTTAAGGGAAGACAAAGAGTGTATACACCGAAGCCATTATGATCGATTCTGAGCTATGTCACTCACAGTCTCCAACCACTGGTTACGATAGTCACGCGGACCCCAACCAAGTAGTCTGCATCAAACCCTAATCTTTCTGATTACTGCTTATATTCTTACTACCTCTTCCAGTGGTCTTGGGTGCTGTTAGAGGTATGAAGGCGGTTATCACTTCCCGGTTGCCCACACCGTCGAAGGGTTCTTCTGGACGTACCTGAAAAGGAAATTGGATTAGAGGCGGTCTCGGCGACCTGAGAGCGTGACCGCAGTGCCCAAGGGACAACTGCTTGAGGCCGGTCGCGCACGGCTTTTTTGTGGAAGGTTTTTGACGTGTTAGCTCCGTTCTTCAAAAAGCCTTACCGCCGGAGACGGAAATCTGTGAGGTAAGGCGAGGTGTGCATTTTTAGGGTCGACCTTTTCTAACCTCACCCCTCCTTGTGGGAAGGCAGCATCGCTGTCATGCTGGTTGTCTGAAGGAAACACCTTAATGCCGTCATACCTCTGTACAGTCAGCAGTACGACTTCGCCTTCGGACCTTAGGTTTGTTGCTTTTATTCTTACCGCTCTTCAACCGACCTGTCTGACATGGTAGGACCTTGAGGAACGGTTGTTCCAGCCAGTATAGCTCGGTTGCTTCATCACGATAGGCAAGCCCGACCACCACGTCAAGGTAGCAACAACGGTCGGGTTGTGTTGATGCGGTATGGCAACCTGGACCGATGCACATATGTGCCTGGTCCTACGTTGTAGCTGACTGACTGACTACTACCTCTTCCACTACGGGATTTGAATCGACAGCTGCATCTCTGTGCTAATGTGGTATGGCAACTCGAACTGATGTACGTACGTACGAAGTTCTACGTTGTTACTGACTGACTGATTCTGCATCTGCCAACATGGCGCAGACCAGAAGTTGGTGGCTTCAAGCACTGATGCCACGTTTTGGTTTGGCCGCCCCTAACTTTCTTCCAACCACCGTCAACACTAGTCAGCATTGCGCGTCGTGGTCCAATAGCACTCAAGACCACTGTTAACTATACACAAGCTATGTAAAAAATTTCCTTCGACTTCTGGATTCCGATACATTGAATATTCAATCCAGTTGGTTAACTTATCATGTGAATATCTATTAGTTGTTGCTCAAATATATCTATTCAGCTGCAACATGAGTGTTTTGATGAGTTTCGAGTTATGGACAAATCTTTAATCAACACCTTTTATGCAGTCTGTATGTATTGTAATGATGAAATTTCGTCCTGTGATATGTTTTGTATTTGGTTTTGTTGTTATCCAGATAAGCTATCAAGCAACATAAAACGTTTATGCGAACAAGTCAGGCTTATGTATAGATTAGTCTTGATTAAGTAAACTACATTGTTATTACAATAGATAAGTGACTAAAACTGAGTGAAATTTAGTATGTATTTACAAAACATAACAAACAGTTGTTTCCATGATCACCAGGTTTGCACACACCAGTTGTATGGAAAATTTGATGGTCAATATTTGACTTACACTTTCATCGGTTTCCAAGCATACCCCACCTATTTCGGTTGGTAAAATTGAATGATATCCCTAACTTAAGCACTATACATTGTATTCAAGTCCGATTTCACTACGTCTTAGATTGTTATGATTATCACTTAAGCGATCGCTGTCCACTATCATAGTAGGAACCATCTAAAATAAAGTCAGTCTATTTTTTTTCTAGTAAATTTATTTATTTATTGGACCTTTTATTGTAGGCATAAAACTGTCTCCCACAAAAACTTCTGCACAGTCTGTTATAGTCGAATCGAATACAAACAAAAAGTCTCCACTTAAAGTTATCAACGTATCGACAGAATCTCCATATGTACCATCAGCAACAGTAGCAGCACCAATCACATCTCATCCAGCGTCTACGGATCCAAAAAATATGTTTACCCGACCATTACTAGGCGCACAATCTGTTGAAGATGCTCGCAAACTATTATCCCTAAGTGTAGGTAGTAAATGTTCTTCCCAGAGACGTTTACCAGTATTCACTTTCCCGAATCACTTTCATTACAATAGTACTCATAATGTCGCTCAGTCTTTGTTCATTACATCACCAGTTCGACCATATGCTGGTATTGGATTTGGACACCTGAAATCGCAACATTATAACAACTCTAATGTATCATCGTCTTTAGGATCATCTTATCAAGTAAATAATAATACTATCATACAAATGTCAAATAACAGCACACCGAAATCATCATCTACCTCTAATGCTACTATTTCCACATGTTCTAATCATTTACATCATCATCATCATCATTATAGTAATACTCAGCTTATATATCCACAACCGACTCGATGTTATTCCACTTCTACCGATACAACAGGCAGTAAAAGTCTCCTGTTGGATAATCTTATCCCAATACCATCTCGTATAGCTACTAATATGAACGATAGTGGGAATAGTAATTCTACATCGAATCAAATGTATGCTATGCTACCAAATCAAAGAGATCCTTGTCATTTGCATCAGCAGCAGCATTCTTTAACTCATCACCAACAGGCATCAGCATCTCCACCTCATAACCGAGGCCAAGCAACTATGAAACATCAATATTTTAGTCAGGCAACAAATCAAAATACAAATTATCAATACCAAGTATGATTGAGTGTTGTTTTTACACCTTCATAATTATCTGTTTTATCCCTATATCATTACCATGTAAAGACAATTAGTAGATTTTGCCAAGGTATACTTTAACTAGTCGCTAACAACAGGTTGAATTAAACTGTTGTATTTGAGGTCGTAGTAAACGTTCATGCCTTTATATTGTAATCATAATCTTCATTTCGCATGTAAACGTGGTTACACCATACATCTCACCGTCGTTGGAGTACTAATATTGTATGATATGTGTATCACAAGATCTCAGATTTAAGTTCGTTTTCAATCACCCTGGAAAGTCGTACTAGTAGCATTCGAGTGCTCAAGTCAACTGAACATGTAAAAGCCTATGTACAATAAAAATATATCTTTAACTTTTTAAAATAAAACATACATAACTGCTATGTCACACGTAGTCTGTCCAGTATACACGCTAACTGAGCTAACAACTTTGTTAGCTATATGCTATCGCCTATGTATTGGTGAAAACACCGAATATGTACAATCTCGTTCTTTCCAAACTTCAGTTCACTGTCTTCATTATTACTAATGAATTGAGTTCTTGAAAATCGTTTGTGCACACAATTCTAACAAAACATTTAGGGTTGAGAAACTACTTACGTGCAAAAATCGTTCCGAAACTGATGACACCTGAATAAAAAGCTAACAAAAACTGAATCAGGATTTTATAGGTACGAAATCGATTTGAAATCATAGACCAACAAATGAAAGATGAAACGTGAAACGCCAAGGCAGCTGACGCGTCTAACTTCTGGAGGCTAGTGATGACTTTTACGGATGAGACAAGCGTATAACCACAATTCAGAATTACTTTGAAAGGAGCAAGATTCGTGCACCTTAAATTTTGCAGACTAAACGTTTTGTGACCTCAGTCCTTGTACTTAATATATATATATATATATATAATCTCATTTTGTTTTACAGCAGCAACAACCAAACCCTCAGGCTCCGTCGAATTCCATTGCATCTCGTCTAACACTGAATTCTAATACTGCTACAGTGCTATATCCATCTTGTCCCGGTATTTCACTACAGCAACAGATAACTTGCCCACATCGGTCTACTAATTTACCTGGTGGAGGTGCCTATCCCTCAAATCAGCAACAACAACAGGCAACAGTACAATCAGGTCGTTTTAGAGAACAATCATCATTGCAACAGCATCAGCATTCAGTTTCATTCAATTTCGATGAGAACTATTTATATCCTACTGCAAATACACTTCCACTTGGTGGTTCAATTCTGTCTATACCTCGTAATTATCGACAGTCTATTATACAAAGAATAATTCCACAATGTAAGTTTTTCATATTTGATTTGATGGCGTTTTCAGATTCACACGAAAATCATTCAGTCCCATTATGAGCCAGTTAATGGTGTCTAAAAGATCATTTAAATGGTCATAAACAGCTATTAGAATTTTTACATTTAGGCTTCACTTTCTTTAGAGTTCATCATTATCAAGGTGTATAAAATCTCACGGAAACTCATACTCCATCGAAAATGTACATTAAGGTGTTTTAAGTAGTGCCGGTAAACTTACTGATTAAAAGCATCCAACTGTTTGTGACCATGCTCCGTGTACTTCGGTTCGTACAGTCGGTAGTATAACTTGTCCTCATACTGGAAAATGTGGCTTGAGATCGAGAATATAAACCCAACTTATATTTTGTGTCTGGCCTCCTACTTCAATCGAGTGTAGCACTCAGTTATCTTTTTCACTTTGGGCGAAGCTATTGATTATACTTGTTTATGTGCCTAGTCAACTCGAGCTGCAATTGGTCAATGATTGGTGTTAGACACATTTGGATACATCACGTATAAAACTTGTATATTTTGAACGGACTTGTTCCCACTCTGCAATTGTATTAGTGTGCTTTTTTGGTTATTGTTACCTGTTTTTGGACTAAACGGTTCTATCAAGTATCTGTATTCACGTGATTAGGCAAGCTTCAAGTTTAACACTTAATTTTCAACTATGAAATTACTAAAATCTCCACAAAACCCCTTCTGACTTAATTTTCTGTTAAAGTTAAAAATTGTCGTGAATACGTCCAAATTGGTTGATGAATTTAATATCTGAGATATTAGGGTGTGAAATTCTGTAAAATACTGGACTGTTTTTTAAGTCCTTCTAACTCTTTCATATGTTCACAGGTTATAGTTATGGCTTCAACAATTCAGATAAAGATTCAACTTTGAGTGCTAATTTGTTTAATTTGTTATGGGCAGGAAAATAATAACAATGTTCTAATTAAAGAATAAGGCATAACTTTAAATGTTGTTATGTGCGCACACATACATCGAATGTCTGAATTGCACTTCACTTTTAATTTGTATATTGTACATGTTAGTGTTGGTTACTAACATGCAAAAACGCTTTTCTAGTGATGAAGAATGCCGTATATTATGATAGATAGGGGGAGGGGACAGAAAAATATTTCAAAAGAATGTTCATCAAAGATGTGCTTTATAAACTTAAAGTTTATAAGCAAAGATGGATAGTAGCTAGCAGTGGAATTCAGGACGTGCGTTTCGTCCTGTTTGGGACTCGTCGGCTGAATATACCTGCACCCCAGAATTGATGTCTACTCCGAGACTCGAACCCATTGCCGTCCGCTTCAAACACCATCGCGTTATCCACTTAGCTGCTGAGTCCTAATAGCCACCTGCTTGTGCAATGGGGTGTAGTTCAAATTCACTAGATGTTGTTTGCTTGCATCTTCCCATTGTTGTCTAGGTCTGCAATCCGCGCAGGATGCACATATGCCAACAACAGACTGATCAATTGCAATCGTAGACAACAATGGGAAGATACAAACAAACAACACCTAGTGAATTTAAACTTAAAGTTTATTTGTCCGTGACTGTGATCATAAATCAAGCACATTGATGGATTATTTAAATTCAATCAAGTAATTTTTGGCTTTTTAGTCTTTTTGCCACATACAAGTCGCTGTATTTTTTGTTCTAATAACTGACTAAATTACTGATTTTCATAAATAATAAAACTGTTTAGATGCTATATTTTTTAAAATATGCATAACTATTGTTTGTTTACTTCGATTACAATAACATTACTGTCTATCATTTTTTTCTATAATTTTCTACGTTCTCTAATTATTAGGTAACAAAACATAAAGCTTTAGTTCTTAATGCACATTATATAAGAAAGTCCAAATTTCTTAGAGTAATGCAAATATTTGCTTTGATGATCATCTGTATGCAAATCACTAACCAGGTTTATACACTTAGCATTTGAACAATATACTGTTCGTGTCTGTGTATGTGTGTATTGCACCTTGAGATGATAACTCATATCACTTTATGAATTCGCCATTCAGAACTCTGATTAGGATTTCTCTATTTCGTATCTGCTCTCTTACCCAAAGCCTAACACCCTAGGCGTAACCAATTATACATCCTGGTTGGTACAATTAACCTTGAACTATCGCAAGCTGCATTCTTTTTGATCCACCTTTCCCCAAGCCTTGAATTTGAAGAGAAGTTTTCAACCAAGCATCTACTATTATCTATTCTAATCGCCCAGCCCAACGAGCAAGCAAAGCAAACAACTATCTCTAACACTCATTAGATCATTTACATAAATGATCAAACCTCACAGGACACCAAATAAAAAGCCGTACTTCAAACACGATGATGTCACGAGTGACAGAGAGTGAAGTAAACAGCACATAATCAAGCGACAATCATTGAAGAATAATAACAAAACGTATGACAACAGTTAATAAGTTAACTGAAAGCTTAAAACTAGGAGAATGTAGAAATACAGTGGTACAGTTACCTACTAATTATACAATAAGAAAAAAGAAAAATAATCTGAAAAGTAGTTCCAAAAGTCCTACCTTTTGCAATAACCGTCTCGCTAGTATGTGTGTATAAAACCGCTATAATGGTACCAACCCCCAGTTACCCAAACCAAATTATATGAGTTTCTCTGAAGTCTATCATTTACTGATGAGTAACTTACATTATTGATTACTATGTAATTATGTCCTCTCTAAAAATTATCTCTGTAACTAATCTTTCAAATATCAAGTCATACTTTCCTTATTTTTATCTAATGCTCCCACTTTTAAGACGATGGAGAATATTTGTAACTCAAGAAGAGAAATTTGAAAATATTTTCACTTTTTTTCTTGTTATCTTTCTTATTACCTTATCCTTCATTCATCGCTCTTTCACAATTCAATAGACTTAAATTGCAAGCCAACTCGGCCACCACCATATGAAATAGCTTTGGCTTTAAAATATCCTCAAAATGCCAATTCACAACGAGTATATCAATCACTGAAAAATGACACGATTAATACACGACATGAAAATAATAACAATAGTATTAATAATAATAATAATAATTACCACATAGCAAGTAATTTATCATCTGGCATTAAACATGGAACAGGTAAATTTTGTAATTATAAATTATTATTGTTTTCGAGTTTTTGTGTAAGTAAATAATCTTACCAAACATATTTCCATATCTTGTCTTTAAACTACCAACGTTAAGCTTTAAAACTGGATGATTGGCTAATTGGTCAATGTATGCGCAATATGTAGCCAGATTATTATAGAAAATAAAAATCTTCATGGTTGGTATGTGTCAGATCACTTCACTAAAATCTGGCTTATAAAAATTTGTAGATGAATTGATGATGTTATCCAATAATTCCACGTTGACCTAAAGAATTCACTTAATGTTTAATAGATTACATTACTTTGGCTACCAACGACATGACACCTATCCTAGAGTTTCAGTTTAATGGTGTCCAAAACGGGTCACTTTTGACAAAAGGAGACTTCAAGTATTCAGCAGTTACTACATCTTTTGCCCCTTACACATAAATATGGTGTCAGATGAGTGAAATATTGTTATGGGTACAATTTCAGGTAAGTTGGATGAGTCAGTCAGTCATCTATAACGTAGTACCCGACAGTTTCTGCTACTTTAACCGATCGGGCTATACAGTCTGGAACAAACGTCGTTCAAGGTCCTACCATGCCAAACAGGTCGGTTGAAGAGCGGTAAGACTAAAAGCAGCAAACCCAAGGTCCGAGAGCGGAGTTTTACTGCTGACTGTACAGAGGTATGACGGCATTAAGGTGTTTCCTTCAGACAATCAGCATAGCAACGATGCTGCCTTTCCATTAGGGGGGGTTAGAAAAGGTCGACCTTAAAAGTGCACATCTCGTCTTATCTCACGAATTTCCGTCTCCGGTGGTAAGGTTTCAAAAAGTAAGGAGCTAATACGAAAATTGTACACAAAAAGGACATGTGTGACCGATCTCAAACAGTTGTCCCTTAGGCATTACAGTCATGCTCTCAGGTCACCAATACCACCCCTAACCCAATTTCCTTTTCAGGCATCGCTGGAAGAACCCTTCAACGGTGTGGGCAACCGGGAAGTGATAACCGCCCTCATACCTCTAATAACACTCGAGACCACTGTATCCCTATTATTCCTCCTACCTCGACTTCCAACTCTAAACTTGATTATAGCTAGATACGATACCCAATCACTCATTAGCTGTTGTTTTGACGACTTAGATTAAATTTAATAGTTGAATTCATGAGTCGATTTAAACTAGACCACCATGGAAAACTAGAAGTATTAGACGACCGTTCTATCCTTGTGTGGGACTCTTCTACCTCGCGTGCGAACATTTAACCTCTAACCCACTGAGCCGGCATCCAACGGTGTTAATGTCTAACTTCAACCAATTCACGATATTGCGCGATCATCCACTATTGTCTCCAGTGAATAATTGCCTCACAACAGACCCGGTTGAACTCCACTGGTCACTGCTTCTCACTAGAACTCCATGAAATACATTTTGAAGGCAGTCACTAGTGAGCACATGATGATTATCAAAATGGGGGGTTTGTGGAGACTGTAGTAATTTACTATTTGGATTCATGAGTCGATTTAAGCTAGACCACCATAGAATCATATGAAAAACAGTGGATTTTCATCTATGATGTACATAGTTTCAAATTTGATAGTTTTGTTAACTGTCTAACTGACTGTAGGTGACATAGTAGGATGATCGAAATATATTTAATCTTTCTGTAAATTTTGAATGCCCCACTTATTTTCCACTTCTTATATCATTTTTAGTTTATTATATAATAACTTTAACTGTCTTATTCATTGACTTTGACAGACTATAATAAATTTAAATGTGATATCATACCTTATTTATTTCCTTAAATATCATTTTAATGGATTACTGACATTCTGTATTATTCAAAGCATTTTCAGTTAAAGCCTTAGAAATCAAATTTGTCTGGTTATGCGAGTATTTTACTTACTTTTTTCTTATTGTATTCTTTCATATTAAACACTCAATTTTAAATCTACCAAATAGAATTACCGGACGCTATCCCACTTACTTCATTCTGAGCAGCTATGAAATATATTTGGGCGTTATACAGTTCTATGTGACTCAAAACTAGGCGAATGCGAACTTATTGTTTCAGTAACGCTATTGAAATAATTTTATACTTGATAGTTTCAGGTAACTTAAAATAAAGTGATATATGTAGTTTAGTATGTAGAAAGTATAATTCTATAAGAACACCTAAAATGGTACTGAACAGGAATTGACACATTGTATTTTATAAACTCCAGTAATCAATAATTTTTCTAAAGAAGGCTGAATTCACAATACCTTTTTAGTTTGAACGTTTCAGTTCTCTGGGCTTAACTCTTTCGAACACGTCACATATGATTGAAATATCCCCTTAGTGTTTTAATCACTATTTTATGGTTACTATAACTTTGAGATTTTCATAGTGAGTTTTAGGACTATTCACGTATCTTTTCCAACCTTGTAACTTGGATGTGCAAGATTCTAATTTGCACTCCCATGACTTGGCTTCTTTAAGTTTGGCACATTCAACTGCTTTTTTTGTTTGTGTATATTGTTGTTACTAACTAAATAGGACTGCTTTCATTCAGCTCTTTAGCACATTTAATTAAACCTTGAAAATCATGCGACCTGCCAAATACTATGTAAGGTTGAAACTTAATCCAAGTTCTAGTTGTCATTTGGTTCCTGCCTACACTGTCAGTATTACGTCGTCCTTACTATCATCTTTCTCTCCTATATCTACTTATTTTGTCAGGACACACACTTCACAATAAAATTATAATTTGCGGATCATAAAAACCATGCATCACTCTAAAGTAGATATGACTTTTCTTCTAGTTTTATGGTGAAATGTTTTATTTTGGATTTGATTACACTGTGTGATCAGGATTATATGTCCACATTCTGATAAATGATTAGATCCATCCAGCTTATTATGTAACGCATGCTTCGTTATTTCTCCTGGTTTTCGGTTTTTGTTTTTTGTTCGTTTCTTTCACCTCTTTCAAGTTGGTCATGTTCCATTGGCACAAACTTACACACAAATCCAAAATTCAAAGTCAGATAAACAATTGTTTACTGTTAAGCAGTTACCGGATAAAAATCCACAAAATCCTATAAATTATGCCTCATCTACAACAACATCGACAACAACAACTTCAACGATTGTGTCTTCACGTTCAGAATTCAGTAACAACAGTAATAATAGTAATAATAATCTGCAATATAGACCATCTGAACGGAATAAATCCTCTACAGTGTGTCAGTCATTCCAGCAACGTATACAAGAACGACCTTCTCCGCCATCTTATCAGCAGGTAAGATGGAATTCATCTTATTTATTTGTTGTATAGTTGAGTGTATTACTTTCTAAAGTTCCTTTCATCGTGTGAAATGGTTGGTTATGTTAGTCAGTCAGTCAGTCAATCACAACTTAGAACCTGGTACGTGTTTACATCGGCTCAAGTTACCATACTCCATTAGAATGGCGAGATTAAATTGTCAGACCAAATCCCAGAATAACAGAAGTGGTAACATTATCAGTGGTGATTGAAAACGTTAAGCATCGGAGATGTGATTCAAGTAAATATAAATTATTGAAATGGAAACACGAGAAAAGTTATGAGGAATTTAGAAGCCCATAATTTAGAGGAAGACAAAGAATAGATACACCAGCGCGATCGCAGATGATTTTGAACCATGTCACTGAAAGTCTCTAACCATTGGTTACGTTAATCATGCAGACACCAACCAAGTGGTCTACACTCGATTGACATGGTTCAGTCTAATCGTCGATAACTTCATGGACTGGTGTCATGTTTTGGTCTGGCCGCCTCTAGCTTTCTTCCAGCTTAGTCCTACACAGACAACATCTCTGATCGAGGTAGGCGGTGGTTGATGAAGATTTACTACCTCATCAGTCGGTTTGCCATCCTTACCCTATTCCTGACCCAGGCACCGCTTACTCTGTGTGCCAAACATACACGAGCGATGCTTCGAAGACACTGATGATTGAATACCAGTAGTAACTTACAAATATTCTTTACTTTTAATAGCCAGGTTTCACAGTCATAAGTTAGAAGTCCACTGAACTTTTAGAATCTGTGCCAAGACTTTGTCAGGATTGATTAGGCTGTAAAAGTAATCGGAGGTCGATGTGCTCAACTACTTCACTCCTTATTCTTAGTTCAGGCGTCAACACAGACCAGTTCTATAGTAACATTTTGCATTTGGTGTGAGAGGACCGCATCCAGAACATGCTCGGATTGTTGCTTAAAGCGTCTTCACCAAAAAGAACTGTGTATCTGCGTATTCCAAGTCAACAAGTGAATCTCCTGGCAGAAAATCAACCTCTGGAAAGTTAGACGATGAAAGTGCTACCTCTAAAAGCATGTCTGTGACAAAGCTAAATAAGAATGGGAAAAGCGGACAACCTTGAAGAACACTCGAAGTAATCGATTCTGATGAAAGTTGTCTATAAGTTTTGGTTCGTCCATTAGTGTTCGAATGATGAGCCTGTACAGGGTTAATAGACTCCTTTGATATGCATTTTGATGACAGACACTGCGGTCGAACCTTACGACCAACAGAGCCGAATGCTGCCTTAATGTCAAGGAATACAACTATAGTCGGACCTCGAAAAGTATGTCTACGTTCTGGAACCTGCCGAAGGGTGAATATTTGGTCGATGCATCCACGTGTAGGTATGAAACCAGTCTGATTTTCTCGGGTTCTCTCTTCACGAGCTCTACTTAATATTTGTAACACTTTGGTAGTTGAGATGGTGGAGAAGATTTGTAGCTCAGGTGGATGATTTTGATGGAGTTTTGTTCTCTGAGCTGGATGGTTTGGTCGTAGAGCTTTCACCGTTGATTGCTGATTGATCTGGGTGCCAGGCTTCGACAAGCACATTTAAATCGATCCAATTTGTCAACCAATCAGGAAAATTATGCACAAACATAGGAACAAAAGTCAAATCAATGCGAGACACAACCAAAACAAAAAAGTAGACAATGACAATAAGAACCAATCAACGTCGAGGTGTACCGGACAAGCTGTGAAACACATATGGAGAAATTCGAACACTTCACTTCTATCTGAAGTTTGTGCTAATGATGTCGTTCAGAAGAACGGTGAAAGCTCCACGACCAAACCATCCAGTTCAGAGAACAAAACTCCGTCAAAAACTTTGGTAGTAAAACTAATTGCATTGTGATTGCTACAAGAGGACCTTGGTTCTTTCTTATAAACTGGGACGATCAGCTAATGCAACTGCTAAAGCTATACCACATTCTTTAAAGATTTTTGGGCTAATCCATCCATTTAAGTTCAGGGATAACTCTCTTCCAATATGACTGAACATCTCCAGATGCAAAGTCTCACTAAGCCTTTGGAAATCCATTCAGTTATTATCACCAACGTAAAGGCTGTATCGTTCCTATATTTCACATAACAGCGAAACGAATAATTCCAGTAGCAAATTAGTAGTGGTAGTAATCTTATCAAAGGTAGTTAAAATAGTTCCCTCAGATAACCAGCATCTGAAACGATGTTACCTTCTCATTGTTGATAGAACGGGTTCGAGGAAGTGTACCATGAAAATGTCGCACCTCAAAGTTACAACGCAGATTTACTTCCCGGCAGTAAGGCCAATAGAAGTGTAGAGCAAACATATCAAACACTTCCTACAAAAAGGTAATGCGTGATGGGGCACAGATAGTTGTCCCTGGGACTCGGTGGTCACAGTCCTAGGTCAGTAAGACCACCACTATTTCTGATTCATTTCCAGGTCTTGAAAAAGAAATATCCTTCCACAAAGTGGGCAGCCGGGAAGTAGTAAACTCCATTACACCTCTATCAGTACCCAAGATCATCATATTCATGATTCAATCCCTCACTTACCTCTTAATAAGTCCTTCATTTCAACGACTAATCCTTCTTACTTATCTTGATCACTGTGCGCCACCAACACTAATGATTTGAGTTCACGAAATGTCATTTCTGGTCTCCTGAAACCACTCCTTAAACTACATGTTGGAGCTTTTAATGCTGAGACCTCGTGTCAGATAGGACAATCCCGCGCTATCGAAATGTGCATCCAGGATACAAGTAGTCATCCATTTGACCTCAACTTGTCTATATAAAGAACTTCAACGACTCACCTTTCGTGTAAATTCTATAACTATTCGTCATGAAACATTTATACCAGCATGCTTCATCATAAACATTTCCAGATTATTCATCGTCACAAGACAATTTTTCCGTTTCTGAAATTTTGTCTTTAATTATTCATATTGCAAAATTGTTCTCATTGTAAATTTCTTTCATATAATTCAAAATCACTTTATCAAGGTTTTATCCATGTCACGACAAGGAAATAATCAAGGGTCATTGAAAATTATCTCTGCTCAATCTCATCCACGTACAAATATTTACTCATCACATGGACGCCCACAACCTCCACAACGAACAATGGTTACATTATCTTCTAATTGTAATCATAACAACTATCGAGCCTCTTCATGTAGTCCTGGTATGACTATAGTTCGTCCAGTCGTAAATGATCTCAATACTGTTGAACCACGTAAGTTGTGTTTATGCGAAACTATAATCAGTGTACACTAGTTCATTTAATACAATTGTCATTATGTTATGAAATTCTATATTTGTCCTCCATTTATCACATATTGACAGATCCGGTGTTTCGGGTTAATAAATCAATGAGTCATTAGTTTGTTTGGTCGATAGACCCACAAATTAACAAGTCGGTAACTCGATAAATTTTACATTGTTACACACCACAATACAATGATAGGAGAGATAGACACAATATAAATATGAACACCAATAGGAGTGAGAAAAAGGATAAAATTTGTAGTGAAGAAAGATTATTTCACTTTGTATTGGTTGTTTGAATCTTCCCATGGACGTTTATGACTGCAATTAATCAATCTCTGATCGGCATATGTGCATCCTGTGCTGATTACCTGGATATTGCCTTAAGTCTCATGAATTATAAGAAGGATTGTTGGGAAATAAAATATTTAGTAAATAATTATTCAATAGTTGAATTCATGAGTTGATTAAAGCTAGACCACCTGGAAGCACCGGCCGGCCGTTTCGTCCTAGTATGGGACTCCACAGTAGTGCGCATCCACGATCCCGTTCGCGGGATTCTGACCCAGGACCTTCGGTCTCGCGCTCGAACACTTAACCTCTAGGCCACTGAGTTGGCATCCAACGGTGTTAATGTCTAACTTCAACCAAATAATTTTTCCTACTTAGAATACTTGAAGAGAATGTGTCATTATGACTACTTTTTCAAGTCGTATAATAATCGAATCTCTAAAAAAGTGGTAGTTTATAGTTCGTTAAGTGATTTAAATACGCAGCTTTGGCTAGTTTCTTGACTTCTTGAACTGATCCCATATTTATATCTCTTGTTGATCTCCACTTAAATTCTACTCAACTAGACAAGCACTTAACCCTCTCGATATAGATAACATTGAAAGGTGTCAAATGTGTTTAAAAAATTTAAATATCTGTTCACTACGCTCTCATTTTCTTCAATAGTTTATTAGTTTATTTCATTGGTTTAAATTCTCGAAATAATTTAATGAATCCTAAATTAAGTAATATTACATTTCTAATGAAAATATCGAGAGTAACCTATAATGATCGCTGTAATCAGTCGATAACTGTTCAATAATTACACAGAAATTTGAGTGAATACAAATAATTTACAAGGTTTGGAACAAATATTTGACCACATTAGTCATGAAATTGTAATATCTGGGCCAATAAAGAGTTGATATTCAGTTTATGATCCATTTTCTCTATCTTTTCCGTTATCATCATCGTCTTCAGAGGGTCGGTATTCATCAAAGCACGCGTATCTGATAGATATTTTTTATAATATTCTTGTCTTTATTGGTCTACTGAGTTTCATTTTTGTTTGATTTGTTTTGCGTAAATTATTTTTTTCAAATTTCTGTAGATCGCAAACATATTGGCAGGTTAGTTGATTGATCCACTTGAAACTGATCAAATGTTATAAATGTTCTCATTATTGCTATTTTTTCTTCTCATCTCTCCTATAAACTAACCATTAATCATCTCCCTCCGTCTGCTTGTATAGATTTATGTACGTTGTATGTTACCTAGCATTATCTGTAACTGTGCTCCTTTTTATAATATGGCAACTCTCATGTCAGCACTTAATTATTCACCCTGTATATGTGTACGTATCAGTGGCCATAAAGTTTTTTCCCTTACCCCTACTAAATACGATCTGTACACATCACTTGTACCCATATATGTTCGGGGTAGTCGTTGGAATAATAATTTTTATTAATTGAATTGCATGTCATTTCAAGTGTCCGCGGTGTTGACTTCATTGCTTAATATTCTTGTAACTGTCATTCTTATAGTGTTTTTGTTTGTGAACACTGAGTTTTATTGTATGTGCAAACATATTTCTAAATTGACGAATTCACCGACCAATCAATCATAAGTAATGTCGAACCTGACACGTGTATATCGATCCAAGTTGCTACACCCTATTAGCACAGCGAGACGAAATTGTCAAGATAAATCCCAAAGTAGTACATATAGTAACAGTATTAACGGCGGTTGAAAAGATTTAGCATTTTAGATAGGATTTGGGAAAAGAATATGGATTAGTGGAATAAAAAATTCAAAAGGTAATTTAGAAAGTTACAATTTAAGAGAAGACTAAGAGTGAATGTGCCTGCTCCATCACAAACCATTTTGATCCATGTCACCCAAAGTCTCTAACCATCGGTTACAATAATCACGCGGACGCTAACCAAGTAGTCTGTACCTACCCACATGGCTCAGTTCAATAGTCAACGTCTTCATGGACTGATCCCATGTCTTCGTTTGTCCCTATCCTACCTCTAAGAACACTAGAGATCCTATTGTTCACTAATTCACCAATTGTGTACTCGCAATCAGCCAGTCACCTATAACGTAGGACCAGGCACATATATGCATCGGTCCAAGTTACCATACCGCATTAGCACAACAAGATGAACACCGGATTCATAGAAGTAGTTAATTTAATGATGGTAATATATAAAAGAAAGATTGCATATGAGGATATAGTACAGGAAGAAAGAATTAGTACGTAGAAAGAGAGATATGTCGATCGTAAAAAGAGAGAGGATTAAGTGGGACACACTACAAATTAAAACCTGTATGTATCCATGATTTCTTTCTCAAATTGCTTACACGACTACCTTACTGAGAGATTACCAAAAACTACTAACGTCTCCTCCGTTTCGTCAAACTGGTTTGCTGTGACAAGTGAAGTTCTATCAAGTTCAATAATAGGGACCTCTTTGTCCTCTTCACTAACAGATTAACGGGTACTCCTTATCATCGATGTTTTTTACAAACATTTCCACGATTTAAAGATAATTCCAACTTATCAATAAAATGTAAAACTGTTGTATGGACACATTGAACAGTTATCGTCACCATTAGACCGATGGTGTTTATGTGTGTATGTACGTATTCTCATTTATCTGTTTCGATATTTCCATTAAATTGAAAGCTATGTCATTAAGTTGAAATCCCTCATTTTTTTATTTATGACACTTAGAAGTTTTGTCATAATAAATCACCAAAAATAATGTTCACACAAACCCCAGTGACTATTATTTTCACTTTCAATCAATTTATGAAATTTCTCGACCATCATACCATGTCATCACGGATGTAACTATTTTACTCTCTATAAATAATTGATTTCATAGTTCACGGTTACTTTCCACCATTAGAGCATTCAGTAATCCATTTCAAAATTAGTAAATACATGACTCTTGTGAAATCAGGCAAATAATATGATTTATTCGACCTTATCTTTACATTACATTAGTCGATTAAGGTCAAAATCATTGAAACGTCGTATTCGATAATTAACATTAAACATTCTTCGCTATTCAAATAAAGTTGTATCTATATGTTTTTTCCGTGTATTTCAATGCCTATTTACTGCGGTAAACTTACAGGATTGCAATTGTATTTCACAAAATGTATACTGTGAAAAAGTGGTACATGTAATATTAACAACTTCCAACTTCTATTAAATTTATCAAATCGTGTAACATCATTGAAAGGATTAATTTAATAATAAGCACCAAACTAAACGTTTAAAACAAACACAAGAACGAGACATATTCACACTCAATTCACAGAAGATCAGATGATTCAACTCTTACTGTCTCAAATCATCTGTTTTCCAGGTGTAGAACATAAGTCAAAAGTTTCATAAGAAATGGAAAAATTAAATATTGCATCAGCCATTCACAATGATAAAAAACACATACTAACTATAAGTACAACGAAGAGATGACAACATAAAACAGAGGATACGTTTCATAAATCACAAGATCTATGCACACATGAACAAAGGAAGTAATAGAGGGACACGTCGCCAAACCATACTGAGCATATAATACCCTTCTTATCGACGTCCGTGTATTATAACTTATTTACTCATGCCTGTTACCGTTGTGAGCTTATAGGCCTCCGACTAAGAACCTCGGAGCAACTCTTTTTCAGATTCATCTTTCAGGTTGTTCCTAAGCGCTATTCACTCTATTGATATCTACCTACAAATTCCGGCATCATATGTCCTCCGGTATGCTTCCTTTCCTTTTCCTTCGAGGATTCCATATTGAGCCTTGTCCTTTGATGCAGTTTGATGGTTTCCTCAATGTGTATCCTACCCACCTCCAACATTGTTTCCTGATTTTCCTCTCAGTAGACATCTGAATTGTTCTCTATCACAGTTGATTATTGCTAACGGTTTCTGTCCAATGGATCTGTAGTATTTTACATAGACACCTGCACCTTTTTGGCAATGGTGGTAATAGTTCTCCACACTCCAACTCCGTACAGTAGAACTGTTTATGACTTTGGTGTTGTGTGACAGATATTCAATCATAGGAACGTTCACCTGTTTTGGTAATTCATACCCTCATGTCTGTATCAGATACTCCATATTCATCGAATATGCTGTTCAGGCACGTAAAGGCTTCCGCTTCTTCCAGAGCTTTACCACCAAATGTGATTTGATTGGTGCTCGCTGTGTTGTATTTCAGGATCTTGCTTTTCCTTTGTGAATGTTGAAGCCTACTGTTTTGGAAGTTACTGTCATACTGAATATCTTCACCTGCATTTGTTGATGTCGATGGGATAGGAGGGTCAAGTCATCTTCAAAGTCCAAGTTGTTCACTGTATTCTGTGCTTCTGAGTTGTAGAGGTCTCAATAATTGAGTCTACAACCAGCAGAAAAAGAAAAGGAAAAATAGGCAACCGTGTTTGATACCTGTAGATTTTAAGTCAATAAGTGAGTCTTCTGATAGAGATTCAAAATACATCAACTTCAGGTCTCGTAACAAGTGTTGATTTCAAAACTTTAGGTTGAAACTTAATGGTTCAGCCACATTTTTAACTTCAGTCACTTGATGATAAAGTCGAAATTGCAAATCAGACATGTAGAACTTCTTGGTTTCCAATAATTTTTCATCTCATAGTTAGTTTGTAATAAAAGTTATCCTTAAATTTGAATATGTAAGATGAACTTGAAGAACTACAAATCTAATATGAAGTTTGCTTTATTGTCTACAAAATAAAACAAATTTTGCTTGTGGTTAAAAGTAGCAATGGAATTATTTGGGAAAGAAACCACTGTCACATAGTACAGTTAGTATATACAATAGACCCAACCCAACAATTCAGAGGGAATTACTAGTAACAAGAAGCAAAAAGTAAATGGAGAAAATACCATATACAATAAATAAATTCACAACTTACAAACTATGCATTTTTAGTCGACAAATTTCATTATTACCATTGTGATTATTCAATGTGATGTTTGATGATGGTGTAGATTTGTTCACGTGGTTTTTCACATCGTCAACAATTTGATAAGCATTTATTGTTTCACTGATTGGCCTCATCGAAGTTTGAGCAGTATGCGTCGTATTTAAAGAGTTAATAGCTTGATAATACTCTGTTGGAAAAAAAGTAGACGTAATAGGAGAAACATATAATTAATTTCTATTGGACTATTTTAGTCTTTGGACTAGAATACAACAGCACCTCTCCCGAAGTTACTCTTCTCTATATTGTATCCAATAGGTTTTGCCTATTATTATTTTCATAATCACCAATGACGTTCACAGTCGCCTCAATAACACCAAGTGACTGAATTCGGAAATGTGTTCTGTTCGGCTCCGTCTATCCAATAGTCTAGACGTAAAGTTCTTGCCTCGAGTCCCCTAACTTTTGTTTCACGGATGACTGATTGATTAAGTCATAGATTCCCACTGCTGAGGAGTCCTAACGTTAGATGGGATTTTTTTGAAGAAGACCCTCATTTTCATATTTAACTAATCCCTACAATTTACTCAATCATGGTACTTCTTTTTTGTCTTTTATTTTACAGATCGACCTAGAAGGCAACCTTTCGTTAGTTGTTTGTTGTAAACAATATATATATATATATATATATATATATATATATATATATATATATATATATATATATATATTCAGGCAAATAAGAAATTGACCCATCCTTATTTCATCATGACACTATTTTATCGTCATTCACTTCACGTTCTTTTTCGTCCTGTTGTTTTCCTCTTGTTTGTTTGATTGCGCTCTCTCTCTTTTTCTGTTTCTCTTTCAAACACATTTATTAATGTACACAAGTTTACTCGTGTTTTTTTAAAATGTTAATTCATGTCTTATACACACATCATTATTTTCAATCTTTACTTTTTGGTGTAACTTCAGTTCTACCAATATAATTACCCATGTATTAACTGTTTCATTACACGCAATTGACAGTCCTTTTTATTGTTTTTATTCGACGAAATTCCTGTTTGATTGTTTGGAAAAGTGGTTTCTAATGACTTATTATTGTTGTTATCTTATTTGTTGTTGTTATCGTTAAGTTTCTCGATAACAGTGAAGGGATCATCCATTTTCGTTGGATAAGCCATATCTACCTGCCGGTCTCTCTCCCTCAATTTTTGCTGTTGATCCGTTTTTTTCATCAGGGAGTTCAAAACAAGAAGACACCAACAGCGAACTGATAGTGTTCGTTATATAGTTTTTTCCAATCTTGTTATTTTTCGTTTCACCTATGTGATCTGGCCTATTAATTTGCTGTGATATTAAAAATTCTGTAGAAGACTGACTGATAAATATCCACTCATTATTAGTGTAGTAATTATTAGTATTATTTTCATCATTGCTCTATATCCATATTCCAAAGATATTAGCTTCTGTAACCATCACAATTGTCTTCAGTCTACTTCATTTAGTCACCTGTTTTCTCATTTAGTTCTGTATATATTCTTTAATAAATTTAGAAAAACCAGTGTTAGTTCATTTCTTCACAATGATTTCAGATCAACTCTTCGATCTGTGTAAAAAACACCCTAACTGTAAATTATGGAAGCACATTATGTATATACGTACAATTCACTTGTTACTGTTTGTATTCGTTACTAGTATTGTTTTTATTTTTCAGAATTTTCTGCATCGTAATTGTGCCTAGCTTACTAGTTATGTATTTCCTTTATATATATATATATATCGGATTTGTATACTTCTATAAATGACTTAGTGTTTGGTTGATTTTTGTTTATAGATAAACAATTGAATATACTAAGTTATTCATTTTTTTCTCCCCATCAAAAGAATTTCAATTAAGATCATAAACCGATAGTCTTTAAATGACCAACAAAAGCTTAGAAGCATTGGATGACCGTTTTTGTCTTAGTATGGGACCCCTCAGCAATATACATCCACGATCCCGCATTCGAAAACCGAACCTAGGACCTTCGGTCTCGCCCGCGAACGCCTAATCTGTAGACAACTGAGCGGGAATACAACAGTGTTAATGTTCATGATCTCAATTAAAAGTCAACAATCTCCCCAACCATATATTGAAAAATGCAATTATTTTGGGCTTTTACGAGCCCAGCTTTTTCGGGAGTCTAGATATCAGTAGCTTCAGTATTTTTGTCTTGAATCAGATTACTCATGAGTAGTCGACGTGAAATTACAAAACATTTGTGTGCCGGAAGTTTTTCTACGTTGAACACTGTGTCCTACCACGCTCAGAAATTATTAACGAAGATTATATGAGATTCATTGCCGTACCAGTGTAATGAAGGGTCTTATTGAATCTGATTAGTTATTGGGTTTCACGGAGTATTTTTTCACTATATTCTGAAACTAATTCTATTTATTCGTGAATTTTCGCACGATAGAATCCTGGACATATTTCATTGATTGGTATTTCCTACGATTGTACGTATTTTCAATGGGACAAACGTATGATTATTAAAATTGTCTAACCTTCTTCAAAAGTATTAATACCACAAAACTGAAGTATATGTTACGTACTATCACTAACATTTAAAGTGTCGTCTTCAAATTGTTCATTTTACTAATGTATAGTCGTCAGTTCCACACAATTCATTCGAAGTTGAGTAGTTAAAGGATCATATTGTCTTACATAAAGTTTTATATTCCCCTAATATCGGTTTAAATTACTGATGTGTGGGCGAGAATGATAATGATTGGTTGTCTGATTAGTCAGATATGCAGATAGTCTGACAAGTGTTAGATGAGTTATATTCCCCTATTATTATTATTATTATTATTATTATTATTATTATTATTATTATTATTATTATTATTATTATTATTATTATTATTATTATCGAATGTTCATTGTTGTTGGATTGTGTCGGGTTTTGGTGTGGAAATATATTTACGTTCTAGTCAGGCTAATCACGTGTTCTTGATCCGAGTTGTGTTGAAGTCCTGTAGAATAATAGGCACTAGGAAGGAATCTGGTGTAGATATTTGTCTAAGGTAAATTAACGTCCCATACACTGAGAGGTAACCTAGCATAGATATTCGTTTTACTTTTCACGGCTAATCAGTAAAACATAACAGTTGCTTATTATTACTTTTGTCAGAAAACATTCCATCAAAACTTTACTGTTTACCTGATAGTTTATTATTGTTTATGATATTTCCAATTTTTTTATTAAAACTCATCCCATCACTTTTTACGGATAGGAAGAAAGATTTATCTGGGCGAACATATATCAACTGACCACGTGGTGTAATAAAAAATATATTATGTAAATAAAGAGTAAATTGTCATCTGCTTTTCAAAAAAAGATACTTCATATAACATCAAGAAAACCACCTGCGTCTAATCCATCATATGTTTTATTACTACAAAATTTGCCGTTATTTGAATTTGTTCGATTATTTCATGCTGAAATTACTTTACCATTTGGAATGACGGGAAGCCTATTGTATACTATGTTTTGCAGCTTGGATGCGATCAATGGTGAGTTTTGCCACCAGTTGACAGTTCTTCTACAGAAAGTGCGTTCGACAGGTATTGAAGTACTAGCCGGAGAATGCTCAGTTCGGGTGTCTAGGCACAGAAGACAGTTATTTAGGTGGCCGATCTGGACTTGTTGGTCGCCAGTCAGATAAGGGGGACCGTCTACTGCAACTATGCGCAAACTAAGACGTGTTTCTGGCTAGCACTAACTACCGGCACAATCATAGCCGATGTGCTACCTGGCGTTCTCCCTCTGTATCTTAAGCCTGGACTCAGATTGATCACATCGCTATCAGCTACCGCTGGCGTGGTTGTGTACAAGACTATCGCTTCTTTTGGAGTACCTATCTGAGTTCTGATCATGCCTATGTTTGCGCTAATCTTACCTTACGTTTCAGTGATCAACAAATTCATTGTCCTAAACGGATCGATGTCATTAAGTTGGTTGCAGCTTCTGTTGCAGTTAAATATCAAACCGCGCTAGGATCAAGGTTAGTTACCATTCCATCGAAAAGTATAGATGAGCATTGTTCGCAATTGCATGACGCCATGAAAATGTCGGGTAAATTCGCATTCGGCTTCGTGAAACGTCCCTCTTATAAGCACGGGGTTTCTTCTGGCTCCTTATCAGCACATTAGTCTACTCCGGGTGATTGCAAGTTTGACCATATACGAAGACTGTTACGTGATGAAATTGGGCGAAGCTTGTGTAAGGACCGAGAAGCCTGGTGTTCGGAGCGCGCTGATGAGTTGGAAGCAACAGATGGATCTGGTAACTGCGTGAGCTCTTCCAACTCACAGGCTGCAAAAAGTTTGTTTTGAGCGAAACAACCTGTGAAGATGACGGGATGCCAGTCAATAGCACCTATAGACGTCTTGAACGATGGGCAAAGTTTTTCGAGGAGCAGTTCAACTGGTCTGGTACCCTAGCAACATTAATCAGACTGTCCTACCCTACATGGGCTGTGATGACTGGTCCACCAAACGAGGCGGAAGTCCTCAAGGAACTCCAACTCTTGAATGGCTACAAATCACCAGACCCAGATGACTTACCTCCGACCCTGTTTAGAGATTGTGGTGACTTTCTCATTCAGGAACTGACTGCGTTGTTTACAAAAGTTTGGCAGTTAGAGAGTGTTCCAGCATTATGGAAGCAGTCGATAGTTGTCCCTATCTTTAAAAAGGGTTCACGTTGTTCCTGTAACAACTATCGGGGGATAAGTCTACTTCCGATTGCGTCCAAGCTATTGACTTCCGTCATATTTCGTAGGTTGTTCAAAACCCGAGAAAGATTGACTCGCGAGAAGCAGGCTGGGTTTCGTTCTGGTCGAGGATGTATTGATCATATCTTCACCCTCCGCCAAATGTTAGAACACCGCCATACTTTTCAAAGGCCAAAAATCGTAGTGTTTCTTGACATCAGGGCTGCCTTCGAATCGTTGGACAGGACTGTTCTCTGGGATTATCTATTGAAGAAGGGTGTGCCTGGGAAGTTTATTAACATCCTAAAAGCCCTATATACAAACACCTCAGGCAGAGTGACGGCATACAATCACCTCTCTCCATTGTTCCATTCGAGCAGTGGGGTTAGGCAGGGTTGCCCAATCTCACCATTCCTCTTCAACTTTGCTATCGATGGCGTTCTGGAAACAGCTCTGATAGATGTAGTGAATGGCGGTGTGGATTTTTTGCGTGGATAAAGACTTCTCGACCTTGCCTATGCGGATGATATTGTCTTACTGTGCGATAATGCTCAGGCCATGCAATCCCCACTTAATCAGTTGGCAATCAGTGTCCGTAGGTATGGTATGAGCTTTGCACCTTTGAAGTGCAAAGTACTTCTACAAGACTGGCAGGATCCTAGTCCTGTACTCACCCTGGATGATAAGCAGATAGAAGTAGTTGAGAACTTCGTGTATTTGGGTGGCTCATGATATGACGGGAATAAAAGTCAAATTTTGATTGATTTACTCATCATGATTTTTATTGAACGTTACTTCCGTTTTAATTCACTGTGATGATTACTTAGTGTAATATGTTTTCTTTTCTAGTGTGATCTTTTATTCCGTATAAAATACACTATTCTTGTATTAAGTTAACATGAACTATACTCTGCATATGATTTGTT